CAAAATATTTCACTATTAAAAATTGATAACTTAAGCCACGAGAATGCAATGATGTCAATATATAATCGGGACAGTTTTGTATTTATTACCCGCACATTTTGATAACAATTTAGTAAGAAGTTATTTAGTTTTTTTGAAATCGATGCTGGCCTCTGGAAGATGAGCAAATGCCCTAGCAGGCCAAAATTCTTTCGATATTATTTTATCAAATATTTCAAGAGGAACAACGATTTTAAAAGACGATTTATTTCTCAAAAAATATTCACCTTCGACATTAGATTTAATATATTTAGTGATAATAGTTTTTTGTTGAATCGGCTACGTAATTTTAGGGAACATTTTAATATTGGCCATATAAATGTTCATGTTTATTTAAAATACATGAATTGTGAAATATTTTATGAGGGGAAAAATCCTAATATTTTTGTTGTGACAGAATCTTGGTTAAAGCCTACAATTTTAAATGAAGCCATACAAATACCAGATTAGATTTGAGTTTATTAGCATGTTCAAATCAATTCTTTTGTCATAGCCGTCTGTTTTGTGATTATGCGGACTACAGTTCTGTTGACGATTTCGGATACTTTGACTCTTTGCAACTTTGAAGAAGTGCTTGCAGTTTCAAATGTACCTTTTCGCAAGCGAGATGCAACGATTCCCAAGTAATCTAAAGACACTAAACGAATACTCTGCTCTATTGTTTTATCTGATACATATCGTACTAACATTGTACCAAGAAGTGAAAGTAGTAGTTCTGATGCAGGCCATTCTGGTTTGTTTACCGTCGAAAGTAAATCATGAATAAAGTTTTCGAACAAAGGTCTAAAGTCTGTTTCATTAGATCGAGATTTACATTTATTGAGAAATGTGGTTAAAAAATTTCCTCCAATGCTTATTGCAACATCATATTTCTTCAATACAACAACATCGGAGTTATCTTTTTTGAGATTGGGTGTCAAATCTTTATTTCCAAATTCGTTTAAGGTTTCATTTGAACAAAGTGTATCGGGTAATATTGTTGCACATTGAATCAATTGTAAAACCAAAGCTGTAACCATTTGTATATTACCACCATTATTGGTCACTTTAAAAGGTCGAAGATTTCTTTTTGATGAGGGTAAACGGTCAATGGATGATAAAATATCTCCCAATATACTGCTGCGAATTTTGTCATAGCACTCCTTTCGAAATATCTAAATGAAAAAATAAAAAAATATATATATCTTCTTCTATCTATACATATATATATATATATATATATATATATATATATATATATATATATATATATATATATATATATATATATATATATATATATATATATATATATATATATATATATATATATATATATATATATATATATATATATATATATATATATATATATATATATATATGTATATATATATATAAATCAATTGTTGTTCGTTGGTAATGGAATCAGTTGAGAACGGCTGAACCGATTTGCATAATTTTTTGTACAAACGTTCGTCATACCCATGTGCGTGAAGATAACAACGAATTTAACTAGCGAAGACTCAAACCGCTCAAGTACTGTATAACAGTTAGAATTCTCAGTATAACAGATATTTGTGAAGATAGGTTGATATGGAAGGTACCATTGGAAAGCTGGCGAGGAGTACTTTCAGAAACGTCGAAAGATGGAACATTTCATTTCGGAAATTTTGAGAAAAGTTAATTTAAATTTTGTGCTAGATTTTATTACAACATCCGACTGTGCAAAATCTAGGAGGGATAGGTCCATATGGAAGGTACCATTGGAAAGCTGGCGAGGAGTACTTTCAGAAACGTCGAAAGTTGGAACATTTAAAAAAGGGGCTTTTAACTTTTTGCTCGATTTTATTACAACATCGGACTGTGCAAAATCTAGGAGGGATAGGTCCATATGGAAGGTACCATTGGAAAGCTGACACCTCGTAAATATGTATAGGGAAGGATTGAAAGGGTAATAAAAAAATATCGCTATGCTATCAAGTACCTGTCCAATTAATATATTTTTGTACAAAAGAAAATTATGCTAAAATTCAAAATTAGGTTGTTTAAAAGGTTGTCATCAAGTAGGAATCGATCAATACATTATTTCTGAATGTTTTGAACTTTTGTAGGTACCGACCGTCACTTTTATACGAAGAATCGTAAATTTTGGGACCTTCTTTGTCTTGGGAAAATTTTCAACATAGTTCCCAAATAATGGCCCAATATTGTGTTAGATACATTTTCGAAAAGAAACAAGAATATATTAAAAACTTGTCATTATAAAATTGGGTTATTATATTCCCTATGAGATTAAAGTGTTTCCCTTACAGAAATTCATATGAATGTTTTGATAGCATAGCGATATTTTTTTATTACCCTTTCAATCTTTCCCTATACATATTTACGAAGTGTCAGCATTCCAATGGTACCTTCCATATGGACCTATCCCTCCTAGATTTTGCACAGTGAGATGTTGTAATAAAATCCAGCAAAAAGTTAAAGGCCACTTTTTTTAAAATTTTCGAAATGAAATGTTCCAACTTTCGACGTTTCTGAAAGTACTCCTCGCCAGCTTTCCAATGGTACTTTCCATATGGACCTATCCTTCCTAGATTTTGCACAGTGGGCAGTTCTGATAAAAGTTAAAAAAAATTGAAATTCACTTTTTTTAAAATTTCCGAAATTAAATTTTCCAACTTTCGACGTTTCTGAAAGTACTCCTCGCCAGCTTTCGGATGATATCTTCCACATGAACCTATCCCTCCTAAATTTTGCACAGTGGAATTCCAGCTAACTCATAAAATTTATATTTAAATCTACTTAAAAATAGTTATATGGGTTCCATGGAGTAGACAGTATAGACAGTTCAAGAACATTAACTTTGCAGAGATATTTGTTTAATATATTAAAAATTGTTTAAATTTATCAGTATATAGTTATCCAGTATTTAAATTCGTGTTTAACTTCACACGTATCTGTCATACTGAGAATTATAACTGTCATACAGTACTTGAGCGGTTTGAGTCTTCGCTAGTTAAATTCGTTGTTATCTTCACGCACATGTCATACCCCGAGTTAGGATTTTAAATTTATTTTTAGGATTTTTCGATTTATCTAAAATCCTCATATTTGCCAAATAATGAAGATATCTGTTTTAAAATTATTACAAAACATACTGTAGACTTTCCCTCCAATCCTAAGTATTTATTTGGGGGTTGAGGAACTGACCACGCAAAAAAGTATAGTAACACATCAGTTGAGAATGGCTGGGCCGATTTGACTCTAATTTTCATTTGGTTATTTGTAATTACAGTGGGAACTTTGTCATGAAAGAAATTTTTGAGAAAAATCGCGGAATTGAAAAAATTGGCTGTTCTATTATGATATGGAATTTTGTGTAGAATTGTTTCAGAATGCCTTTTGGAATTGAAAATTCTTATTGAAAAAAAAAAAACCGAAAAAAATCGAGACAGTTTACATATTTTCTGTACATGCTGTTATATGGTTGCCATACCCTAATTTTCAATTTTGATTAGATATGGAAATAATCCATTCAATCAGAACTCAAAATGCAAAATTCATTGGGAAAATATAGTAAGAAAAGGATTCATATACTCGGAAAATTCTTCCGAACCCTTAAAAGTAACATTAAATCATAGGTAACGTTATACGGGCACTATGCGCTATCGTCAGTAATTACACAGCGTCGCAAACATGCTTGGGGTTAGGAAAATTTTCGGTTGGTAAATAAAAATCCCAAAAGAGGGGTTCCCTAACTTTTTTAAAGTCCACCAGATTAGATTAGAGTTTATTAGCATGTTCAAATCAATTCTTTTGTCATAGCCGTCTGTTTTGTGATTATGCGGACTACAGTTCTGTTGACCCAGCAGCGATTTCGGATGCTTTGACTCTTTGCTACTTTGAAGAAGTGCTTGCAGTTTCAAATGTTGATTCACAGGTTAATATACTAAATTGTGGTCGTCAATGTTTGCATACAGTTTTTCCAATTAGAAGTTTTTATAAAGTGATAATAGTAATTGGCTTAAATCGTCTGACATACGTTATCATGTTTTCCTTAGAGACTCTGCATATAAGGTTTATCTTCACAATGAAAGTTTAGAGAGTTGGAAGATTTATTGCCGTTGCCGGAACAGTGATAAGAAAGTCGTAAGTTGAAATTTATTGCTCATGAGGAATTGTTTGTAAATAAATCCACAAAAGAAGTGTGATTAATTTTTATGTTGGTTACTTGGTTGTCTGGTAACGGTCTGTCAATAAATGCTCAAGAAGTTTTTTTTTTTGGGAACATACAAGAGGATTCAATAAACCTTTACAATCTGTCACCTAATCTTAAGACATTTAATACTTCCTAAAATGTAGATTGATCATTTTAATCAAAATATTGTGTAATAATGTTCATGTTATTTCCCTTGTTTTTTATTTCTAAGAGTGGTCATGTATATAAGTTTTTGGAACCTGCATAATTTAAAAAATATAATAAATAAATTATGAATAAAAAGTCTGAATTAAAGTAGAACTTGCGACTACTTGCTGTTTTTAACCGTTGATCTTCGCACAATTAAGTCAAAATTAAAATTAAAGTTGAAATTAATCATGAATACCCGGGCGAAAATTTATTCCCACGGAAAGCATTTTTCTCGAGAGACAATTCTTCAAATCTTGAATAATTAAGGACATTTAATTTGCGAAGATAGCAACACCTTGTAAATCATATTTGTTCTGAAAATTGTTGCAAAATTTTTAGTTTTTTATAAAAATTTGAAATTCGATATTCGAATATATGTGTGTGATGTTGATAAGTCTAAGAAGCAACATAGAAGTTAAAAAATAGATCCTGAACGGCCAATATCGCCAACCTTACTTGGTTTCGCACAAAATTATTATTCAAGATTGTGCTGAGTGCATAAAAAGGTACATTAATAGTAATATAATCTAAGTACAATGACAAAAAAAAATAAATATGAATAAATCATTACCTTTTCGATGGGTGTCTTTATGTCGATTTTTAGCCATTTTTTTACGACTGGCATATCGTTTATCCCCTTCGGCAATTTTTCGACGCTGATATATAATATCTCGATACCACTGCACTAAGTAAAAGTGGCGTGCATAGTCCCAAATTAAATTTTCCTCCTGCGCGTTCACGGCTAAAAAATCCAAAAGAATTTTTTGGAGAAATTCGGTTCTTTCCTCCTCTGGGTCTAATTTAATATTAATCTAAAAAATATTATTATTATTTAATAAAATTTAAAAATATTTAAATGTCAATTACTTACATTAACTACCGGCAGATCACCTTCTCTTTCTTGTTCTTGCTTAATTGACTTTATCATGGAATCGATTATATTTACTTTACATCGTGATTCTACAGTATCTTTTCGCAAGCGAGATGCAACGATTCCCAAGTAATCTAAAGACACTAAACGAATACTCTGCTCTATTGTTTTATCTGATACATATCGTACTAACATTGTACCAAGAAGTGAAAGTAGTAGTTCTGATGCAGGCCATTCTGGTTTGTTTACCGTCGAAAGTAAATCATGAATAAAGTTTTCGAACAAAGGTCTAAAGTCTGTTTCATTAGATCGAGATTTACATTTATTGAGAAATGTGGTTAAAAAATTTCCTCCAATGCTTATTGCAACATCATATTTCTTCAATACAACAACATCGGAGTTATCTTTTTTGAGATTGGGTGTCAAATCTTTATTTCCAAATTCGTTTAAGGTTTCATTTGAACAAAGTGTATCGGGTAATATTGTTGCACATTGAATCAATTGTAAAACCAAAGCTGTAACCATTTGTATATTACCACCATTATTGGTCACTTTAAAAGGTCGAAGATTTCTTTTTGATGAGGGTAAACGGTCAATGGATGATAAAATATCTCCCAATATACTGCTGCGAATTTTGTCATAGCACTCCTTTCGAAATATCTAAATGAAAAAATAAAAAAATATATATATCTTCTTCTATCTATACATATATATATATACATATATATATATATATATATATATATATATACATATATATATATATATATATATATATATATATATATATATATATATATATATACATATATATATATGTATATATATAAATCAATTGTTGTTCGTTGGTAATGGAATCAGTTGAGAACGGCTGAACCGATTTGCATAATTTTTTGTACAAACGTTCGTCATACCCATGTGCGTGAAGATAACAACGAATTTAACTAGCGAAGACTCAAACCGCTCAAGTACTGTATAACAGTTAGAATTCTCAGTATAACAGATATTTGTGAAGATAGGTTGATATGGAAGGTACCATTGGAAAGCTGGCGAGGAGTACTTTCAGAAACGTCGAAAGATGGAACATTTCATTTCGGAAATTTTGAGAAAAGTTAATTTAAATTTTGTGCTAGATTTTATTACAACATCCGACTGTGCAAAATCTAGGAGGGATAGGTCCATATGGAAGGTACCATTGGAAAGCTGGCGAGGAGTACTTTCAGAAACGTCGAAAGTTGGAACATTTAAAAAAAGGGGTTTTTAACTTTTTGCTCGATTTTTATTACAACATCGGACTGTGCAAAATCTAGGAGGGATAGGTCCATATGGAAGGTACCATTGGAAAGCTGACACCTCGTAAATATGTATAGGGAAGGATTGAAAGGGTAATAAAAAAATATCGCTATGCTATCAAGTACCTGTCCAATTAATATATTTTTGTACAAAAGAAAATTATGCTAAAATTCAAAATTAGGTTGTTTAAAAAGTTGTCATCAAGTAGGAATCGATCAATACATTATTTCTGAATGTTTTGAACTTTTGTAGGTACCGACCGTCACTTTTATACGAAGAATCGTAAATTTTGGGACCTTCTTTGTCTTGGGAAAATTTTCAACATAGTTCCCAAATAATGGCCCAATATTGTGTTAGATACATTTTCGAAAAGAAACAAGAATATATTAAAAACTTGTCATTATAAAATTGGGTTATTATATTCCCTATGAGATTAAAGTGTTTCCCTTACAGAAATTCATATGAATGTTTTGATAGCATAGCGATATTTTTTTATTACCCTTTCAATCTTTCCCTATACATATTTACGAAGTGTCAGCATTCCAATGGTACCTTCCATATGGACCTATCCCTCCTAGATTTTGCACAGTGAGATGTTGTAATAAAATCCAGCAAAAAGTTAAAGGCCACTTTTTTTAAAATTTTCGAAATGAAATGTTCCAACTTTCGACGTTTCTGAAAGTACTCCTCGCCAGCTTTCCAATGGTACTTTCCATATGGACCTATCCTTCCTAGATTTTGCACAGTGGGCAGTTCTGATAAAAGTTAAAAAAAATTGAAATTCACTTTTTTTAAAATTTCCGAAATTAAATTTTCCAACTTTCGACGTTTCTGAAAGTACTCCTCGCCAGCTTTCGAATGATATCTTCCACATGAACCTATCCCTCCTAAATTTTGCACAGTGGAATTCCAGCTAACTCATAAAATTTATATTTAAATCTACTTAAAAATAGTTATATGGGTTCCATGGAGTAGACAGTATAGACAGTTCAAGAACATTAACTTTGCAGAGATATTTGTTTAATATATTAAAAATTGTTTAAATTTATCAGTATATAGTTATCCAGTATTTAAATTCGTGTTTAACTTCACACGTATCTGTCATACTGAGAATTATAACTGTCATACAGTACTTGAGCGGTTTGAGTCTTCGCTAGTTAAATTCGTTGTTATCTTCACGCACATGTCATACCCCGAGTTAGGATTTTAAATTTATTTTTAGGATTTTTCGATTTATCTAAAATCCTCATATTTGCCAAATAATGAAGATATCTGTTTTAAAATTATTACAAAACATACTGTAGACTTTCCCTCCAATCCTAAGTATTTATTTGGGGGTTGAGGAACTGACCACGCAAAAAAGTATAGTAACACATCAGTTGAGAATGGCTGGGCCGATTTGACTCTAATTTTCATTTGGTTATTTGTAATTACAGTGGGAACTTTGTCATGAAAGAAATTTTTGAGAAAAATCGCGGAATTGAAAAAATTGGCTGTTCTATTATGATATGGAATTTTGTGTAGAATTGTTTCAGAATGCCTTTTGGAATTGAAAATTCTTATTGAAAAAAAAAAAAACCGAAAAAAATCGAGACAGTTTACATATTTTCTGTACATGCTGTTATATGGTTGCCATACCCTAATTTTCAATTTTGATTAGATATGGAAATAATCCATTCAATCAGAACTCAAAATGCAAAATTCATTGGGAAAATATAGTAAGAAAAGGATTCATATACTCGGAAAATTCTTCCGAACCCTTAAAAGTAACATTAAATCATAGGTAACGTTATACGGGCACTATGCGCTATCGTCAGTAATTACACAGCGTCGCAAACATGCTTGGGGTTAGGAAAATTTTCGGTTGGTAAATAAAAATCCCAAAAGAGGGGTTCCCGGAACTAACTTTTTTAAAGTCCCTTTTGTATAGCTTAACCATACACAAAGGGCCGCAAATATTTTGCCCTATACTCCGCAAAAGTTACGATAAAGTTTTAAATCTGATACAGTCCTAGGGGTTACATGAGGAATTATTTGTACAAAATATGTATCAGGTTGGTCTACATTGTGATATAGCACCCCTCAAAGCATATAGCCCCTTTCAAATTCCTCAAATGTTAGTAATTTGAGATTTTATAAAAAAATAAATTCTTTCAAATAATTATAAGTATAGGATCATGCTTCATTATAACTCGTATGTGAAGGTATCCGGTGATTTTAGCTATTACCAGGGTCTTGCTCACATTTTTCAATGTCAATGTTTCGGAGTAGTGCTCATATAAAAGTACCTCCCGATTTTACCTTTTCGATTTGACCTAAAATGTGTGTTTAGGCTAATTTGGGGGTAGAGAACCATCTTACATGGGTCTATTATAAATAGTTAATGTGTACTTTTAATATATATGCTATATTAAGGAGAATCCTAGTCATTCATTGATTGTGAAGGTTATTGTGAGCGTCATTTCGTCCGGATTTCTTATATTAAAGAATACATTTTAAGATGTTTAAACTTTAAATAGGTAATAAACGTTTGTAAGGCGTTGGAAATAATTTCCAATTTTAAGGACGGGTGTTGTTATTATTATTCCCTTAGATCCAAAAAAAAACGTTTATATATAATATTAAAAGTAGTGATAAACGTGCTACATTTTGTGTATTTCTTGTATTAATTTCTTTTATTTAAGACATTGTTTTACAATAACAGAGTAGTAATTTGACACATATCTCCTTCGTAATTCTTTAGTTTGAAAGGTTAGTAATCATTCCTACTTACTTTGTTTTCTCCAACATAGCATCAACAGTGAAATTATATTTATAAATATTGTTATTTCCGCCAATGTAAACCTATTTAAAGTGATATTTTAATACTGAAATGGTGCTTAGTGCGTTAAGCACTGAAATTACTAGGACTTCAATAGGCTAGAGGCGCCGGCCTGGAAGTCCTGAAACTCAGGTTCAAATCTAGACTGGGTTGGGTGTTTTTCTTATTATTTATTTTATCTTTTTTTTTTGGTTGGATGTTATTTCAGATTCTGCAAGAAGAGTATTCTCAAATTATTTTAAGGATTTTTTAGTGAAGCAACGGTTAGTAAGAGTTTTTTAATTATACGCAAACATGCAGTGACTTTAAAACTATAAGCAACTGAATAGAATCCAAGCAGTTTATTCGCTAATTTCCCCTTCAAATATGGCTTTTCGTTGTCCTTCTCAAACACATCTTCTGTTGCAGTTTTTTTTTTCTTAAATGTGATTACGACATATTTGTATTGATAGAAGACATTTTGGTTCCTTAAATTGTGGTTTGGTGTGGGTAAACCGCTTTTGGTAGCGTTTGTTCTCCCAAGGTTACAAAAGACGTTCCTATATGGGATTAATTTTTTTTTTTTTCAACTTCGCCACTAAGTACAAACATAGGTGCTGTCCTGTGTCAGTTCGCCGAATATATTCTAACATAATTCCTATGGCTACCTTTGATGGTAACGACCTTGCCGAGTTTTAACCCATTAACGCCGACGGGTGCGAAAACGCACCAAAAATAGAGGTGTTTTTTAGCATGCATAGAAAAAGTTTCATATTTGATATCGCTTTTCTGTTTCTTGGTATAGATAGTAGATGGATGGGTCTATTTATTTGACTTTGGCTGTTTCTTCATCAGACGTCACCTACATGATGATAAACCTATCGCCAAGTGCAGGTTTTCCCACATGCAAAAAATAACCCTATTATACAAAGAAAACTTATAGAAAAATAATATTTTTTTTAAATATGTATTGGTATGGATCGGTAGCACTTTGCCCTATATTTAATTCATAAAATTTTAAAAATTGTACATATAAACGTCTTTGCACATATATGTTTTGTGCGTTTTTGCAACCGTGGGTACTTTTTACTAAGAAAAGTATTTCGGTTAACCATATGTGCGAATGCTAATGAAGCGTTCCCAATCAAAATAGCTGTCATACCGTCATTTATATCTTAGTAAAAAAGTACCCACTAGCGCCGACGGGTGCGAAAACGCACAAAACATATATGTGCAAAGACGTTTTTATGTACAATTTTGAAAATTTTATGAATTAAATATAGGGCAAAGTGCTACCGATCCATACCAATACATATTTAAAAAATATTATTTTTCTATAAGTTTTCTTTGTATAATAGGGTTATTTTTTGCATGTGGGAAAACCTGCACTTGGCGATACGTTTATCATCATGTAGGTGACGTCTGATGAAAAAACAGCCAAAGTCAAATAAATAGACCCATCCATCTACTATCTATACCAAGAAACAGAAAAGCGATATCAAATATGAAACTTTTTTGGTGCGTTTTCACACCCGTCGGCGTTAGTGGGTTAACACATATATGTGAA